AAAGAGATAATTAAAGGATTCTCTAAAGTTGCCATGATTGTTTTGCCCATAGCAGTAAATACCTTCAGATAACCACAGAATCAGAAAATTACTTAAGGTGTCTTAAGATGGTCGAAATGATTGAGATCATACAGTCATAGAATGATTTAGGTTGGAAGGGACCTCAAAGATCACCTAATTCCATCCCCCCTGCCATGGGCAGGGACACCTTCCACTAGATCAGGTTGCTCAGAACTCCGTCCAACCTGGCCTTGAACCCTTCCAGGGAGCCACAACTTCTCTGGGCAACCAGTTCCAGTGACCACACCCACAGTAAAGAATTTCTTCCTAATATCAAACTCCGCTCTCTTTCAGTTTAAATCCATTACCCCTTGTCCTATCACTACATCCTCGTGTACAGAGATCATCCTCATCTTTCCTATAGCCCCTTTAAGTACTGGAAGGCCACTATAAGGTCTCCCTGGAGTCTTCTCTCCTCCAGGCTCAACTCAACAACCTCAACTCTCTCAGCCTGTCCTCACAGGGGAGGTGCTCAAGGACCCTGATCATCTTTGTGGCCTCCTCTGGACCCACTCAAACAGGTCCATGTCTTTCTTGTACTGGGGAACCCCAGAGCTGAACACAGTACCACAAGTAGGGTCTCATGAGAGCAGAGTAGAGGGGAAAAATCACCTCTCTCGACCTGCTGGCCACACTTGATGCATCCCAGGGTACAGTTGGCTTTCTGGTCTGCAAATACACATTGCTGGGTCATGCTGACCTTCTCCACTGGGTTGCTCTCAATCCACTCATCACCCAGCCTGTATTTGTGCGGGACCTTGCGCTTGGCCTTGTTGAATTACCTGAGGTTCACATGGGCCCACCTCTCAAGCCTCTCAAGGTCCTGCTGGATGATTCCTCTGGAAATAGGTCAGGTAAAGAGAAAGAAGGTCTGGGAGGATTATCTAATGAAAGGAATTAAGTGTAAGATATGTGAGAGGAGCTGAGCTGAGAAAAGAAAGAACTGCACAAGAAAGAAAGATAAATAAAGTAACAGGATATTCTTAAAGTACAGAAGAGGTCAATGGAAAATAAAAATGGCTTCTAGGAGATGGCAAGAGGAATTAACAGAAGAAGTAGCTTTTGCTTTCAGGAGAAATCTGGAAGGAGGGAGGAAGGTTTTTCTTTGTCTCAGTGCTTGCAAAACTAGAGAGAGGCCAGCTGCCACAGACAGTCATCATGTTACCCCCCTAAGGGATGTGGTAGAGATGCTGAAAGAAATTAAATACATGGCAGTAAAAGGCACTGGCAAAACCGCAGTGTTGTGTGAAGATTGAAAGAGGTGAAATCCCAGAAGGGGAAGAGTGGAGGCCGTCTGTTTTTCCTGATGCAGGTGCCTAAAGGAGAGAGAAAAGGTGGGTAGACAGCGTGAAAACACAACAGTGATGATGAAATAAATGCCTTAAAGCAGGATTGTGTGAAAGACCAAGATATACCAGAAGCTGTTGTCAAAGAGGACCAGGCGGAGAGGTCTCCATGGAGCAGGTACAGCCCTAGGAGTCATGTAAGAAGGGGCCCTAGACAGCTTCCCTGGTAGGATCTTCACACCTCTCCAAGCTTAAGACAGGAGAAGCTGCTTTCTTGGGCTCTGTCTGGAGAGCAAAGACAGATCTGATGGGGCATTCATCAGCTCGGGGAGCTGTGGGGAAACAGTCAGGAGAGGGAGAAATGAGATGTCTGCAAGATCAGTTGAGTGGAGAGGGTAAGCATGAGGAGCAGCTCCATGTAAGAAGTAAACCTGTGGTTGTGGGACAGGGTACTTGAAGGAGAAAGCAGGGAAGTCACTTCACCAAGACTCTTATTGTAAGAAATAACAGGACAGGGACAAGGGCTCCCCGCTCCGTCTGTCCAGCAATAAGCAGCAGCCAGCAGGGAAAAGAGACACTAAGGAAGATGAGAACAGGGGATGGTGAACAAGAAAAAGGAGGGGAAGAAGGTCTCTCATTGACAGGCAAAGGATGACCCTTACCAAATGTCTGGAAAGTCCCGTTGCAATGCAGTGGTCACAAACTCTGCCCTCCCGATCCTTGCACAAACTGGTGTGAATGGCATTCGCTCCCAAGTGACATTGGTCTGGTTTTTTGCAAGGCAATATTGATCAGCATTGACCCCTTCAAAGCTATCTCACCTCTCCTTTTTGCACTTATGCTGAGTGATGCCAAGCACCTGGGTAGAAACACAGCTGCCTGTGAGTCTTCATGAAAGCTTCAGCAAGCAAAAAGCCTTGCTGCCTTCAAAGAAATGACTGGAGACACCAGTTATCCCCTTTAATTTTCAACTCATATATTCATAGCATTTTAATTGCTTGCAAATGCATTTTCTCTGTCCCATTATGTTGCCTTTCAGCTGTTGTGGTGAGGCAGAATACAAATTTGCGAGGAGGAGGAAACATGGTGGTGGGCACTGGAGAGGTTACTTATGTTCAGAGGGAAGGCGACTGGGCAGGTTTTTGCAGGACATCTCTGGTCCTGCAGCTTGAAGAAACCCCCTCCAAAACTCCCCACACTCACTACCCACAGCTACAGTCTGTGAACTCCAGTGTCAAATCTTCCTCTCTCCTTTTTTTTTTCTTCCTTGGAAGAGAAAAAGCGATATAAAGTAACGTACTCTCAAAATAATGATTCTTAAAGGGGAAAACCAACAAAATTTCTGATTATGATCTTTACACACACACACACACCCCGAGAGTGTATATGGTTTATTTATTTACCAGACATGGGTTGTATGTCGATGGATGGATGGATGGATGGATGGATGGATGGATGGATGGATGGATGGATGGATGGATGGATGGGTGGATGGGCAGGAACACAGACAGATTTGCCTGGAAATGAAGGTGGGTAGTCTGTGTGTGCAATGTGGTGGTGGTGCTACCGGCTCCCTCCCTCCAGCCCACAGAGATCTGGGCCTCTCCTGGAGTTTTCCCTGCATGCAAAATTCAGGGAAGGGAGATGGGGTGGTGATGCTCAGCACAGAGGGGACCCATGTTCAGGTTCACCCCCCCCTCTCACGAGAGAGAGAAGGTCAACCAGCCAGAGGAGCAGAAGAAAGAGAAAAAGATTGTGTGTGTGTGTGGGGGGG